GGGTCCCGCCCGCCGTGCGGCACGTGGCTTGGGGCGTGCCGTCCTCTGAAGCTTTTGTCTGAAATGTTTTGTGATCAAAGCGAACGGCCTCTCTTCACCCAGTAGCCTGACTATGCCCAACGCGGCGCAGCCCGCGGCCCTGGCGCCGGAGCCCTGAGTCTGCAGACCTGCCCGCCGCTCTCTGGCCCCTCTCCTCCCACCTCCTCGCCCCTCAGCCCCACGCAGGCCCAAGACCGGCCCGCCGCCCTGTCCTGCCCGCTCCTCCATCCGCGCCACCTCCGGGACCAGGCAGAGCACAGAGCTGCTTCGTGGCCTTCTGCTGCCTGGCCCGCCCGGCACCTGCAGGCCCTGGGTCACCACGCCCGTCCGAGGCCTCCGTCTTCTGAAGGACAGTGATCAAAACAGCATGAGCGCGTGCGGGAGCCCACGCTGCCCACCCTACAAGTGGGGAGACCACGTGATACTCCCAGGTCACTCGGCGAATATGTGCAGACGTGGAGAGGTCTGTTCCCTGCAGCACCTCCGTCCAAGCTGCTCCTGCCATTTGCCAGGTGCTTCCTCGCCCTCCCCAGCCAGCTCTGCTCAATGCTGGTGTCATGTCCTCCGAGAAGCCTTCCCAGGTCCAACCAACCCAAGCCAGGTGTTTGTCCCCCAGAAACCCACACACTCTGCCCCTTTGCTGTCACCCACAGTCCTCCCTGGGTGGTGAGGGGCGCTCCCTATGCCCCGGGGGCCTCACCTGGGCCCAGCGCGGAGCAGGCCCGACCACGGCCCCTACTGAGCCAGTGCAGCGCGAGGAACTGCGTGATGAGAATCTGGAAGAAGAGGGAAGCTATGGGGGCCGGGGGTCCTGCCGCCCACACCACCCGCCCCCGTGAGCGTGAGACCCGGCCTGACGCCGGCGAACCCAGCCGGGAACCAGCAAGGCTCTGGAGCTCACAGGATGGTGAGCGTCTCTGCCTGGGGCAGGCGCTGTGGGCGGGCAGGCGCTGGCAGGGGGACGATCCTGCCCCACACTCCCCGTCTGCACACCCACACGGGGCTCGGGCTCCCGCCTGGGTCTGGCAGGGTGGTGGAACCCAGCGTGGCTGTTGGCACCCGGTGTGCGGGCGCTGGGGTCGCGGGCCCTTCCCGGTGGCGGCCCCCGCCCCGGGGTCAGCGCCCCTCTCTCACCCAGGGCTCCCGAGAGCCTCCGGGCGAGGAGGACTGGGGGGTTTCAGGTAACCCCGGGGCGGGGGCCGCTCTGGGTCCCCAGGGCCCAGGCCCACAGCTCAGGCTCAGCTCGGCAGCTCTGGGCTGGGCTGACTTATCGTGTCGGCAGGAAAGGAAGCGCTCCTCCGGGCAGGAGCCGCCCACAAAGGGTGCCCGCTGCTCTGCCCTAGGAGCTCGTTAACATTCCGCAGACATCGCTAAGTACTTAGTAACACCCAACAGGCTGAATGGACGCATCGTTTGGGCTGCTCCGTATTCAGCCCGCAGCCACGTCGCTCCTCCCCGTGCCCAACCTGCCCATCAGCATTTGCAGAAAGCCCCCATCTGCATCGCGACAATGGTCCTGCCCCAAATCTGGAGCCGTGGGCACAATTGTCCTTTGTGCCCACTCTGGCGGGCAGGAGGGGAGCACGTCCCAGGGGCTCATCGGCGATGGGGACAGGCGGGCACCCCGACACCACGCCTAGTGGGCTGGGTGCTCAGGCGCGGTCTCGCACACCCAGCTCCCAGGGGGCATCCACAGCCAGCCTCAAGGGACGCTTTCTGCCCTCCTGCCAGCACTGACCAGATGCGGGGGGTACATCAAACCTGGCACCAGGCAGACCAGGTGCCGGCGCCGTGAGCACACAGGGTCAGGAACAACACGAGCTCGTCGCCCTCTGCCGTACCTGAGACAGGGACACCGTCCTTACAGCCACCAGCAGGCTGGGATGCTCTAGTGGATGCCGGAACATTCTGGGAGGTTCCGGGAAGAAGCCCAAGAGGGGAGGGAGGGACAGACACAGAAACGCTAGAACAACGCACGGAGCGAGGAGGAAGGGGACAGCTGCGGGCACACAGGGCTGGCTCGGCACTCGGGACCCCCGCCCCCACTCCACCTGGAGTGGGGGTCAGCATGTGTGCGGGCCACCTCCTCTCTGCCAGACTGGGGGCGCCAGCCACATAGCTGGACCGAGGCAGGGCCTGGCTCCCAGAAGCCCAGAGCCCAGAACAGAACAGAGAGGACTTCTTCGGGTGACACCAGGTCCGCCGGAGCAAACGCAAGGACACCTGATGCCCACAGGATGAGAGCACGTGGTCCAGGGAGGACTGGGCATCTGCCCACCCCAGAGGTCCTGCCGGCCCTGGTGGATCAGAACTGAGCATCCAGACCCTGTGCCCACCCCTTTGTCCTATGTGACAGTTTCTCACCAGAATTGTCACAGCCGTCCACCGAGAAGTGGTCAGGCCTCCGCTCCTCCGATGCAAGGTCGCAAGTGATGTGGGGGACCACCGGCATCTTTTCTCCGGGGCTCACCCCGTTGTCCTTGTCCAGTTTGAACTTTTTTTTCTTTACCTAAAACAGCAGACAGTAAGTGGTCAGTCCCTGGGTACCCTCCGCCAGGCCTCCTGCTGGCCCAGAGCACCTGTGCCAGCAGGCTGGGGGCACCTGCCAGGGACCCAGGGCCAGCCCCTCACACACAGACAGGGCGGGCTCAGCGTGTGACACTGACAGCGGTCCCAGGGGGGCAGGTGGACAGAAAACTAGGAAACAGATAAATGCAGAGGAACACATCAGAGCAGGTGGTGACAGGGGCTGTGGCCTGCCAGGGCGTGAGAGCACAGGGCGGGGCACAGGCTGAGGGCCAGCCAAGGCTTCTTTGAGGGGGTGACCTAAAGGAAGTGGGCTGGCAGGTCATGCTGGAATCTGGGAGAATGTTCCAGGAGGTCAAACTGCAGGTGCAAAGGCTGCAGGGGCAGCCAGCAACTGAGAGAGCAGGACCTCTCCGAGGACGGTGTGGGCGCGAGCCAGGGAGAGGGCCGGCCCTCCCTCCGTTCCTGAGACCCTCGCCCCAGGCTGCCTGAACTCCCTCACGCCACGACCCAGCCCAGACCCTCTCCTGAGCCAGGAGGCCATGTCCGTGCCCCGACGCCCACCACGCTCAGCACACGAAGCCCAACGCCGAGGCCCTCTCAAGAGCCTCCCCCAGCAGCTCCCAGAACCCAGCCCGTCCTGGTCCAGGGGCTCCTCCGACCTCCCACAGCCCTGGCCTTGGCGCAGCCGGTCCTACGTGCCCGCAGCCGTGGGATGCTGGGATGGCGGGAGCCCAGTGCGGGCTGTGCTGCTCCAGTGCCCGGAGTGGTGCTGATACCCCGACGTGGGCTGCACCGGGTTGAAGCGCCAGGGTCGAACCCTGGCCGCGAGCTGTGGCCACCGTGGACCCCCGCTCGCTAACAAGTGCCCCAGCTGGACGGCGGGCGGCGGCTGGTTACCATGACAGACTTCTTGGGCTTGGGGCTGGGAGAGAGCAGAGCGTGGCTCCGGGACGGCTTCCGGACGTAGATTTTCCAGGTGGAGGAGTCGGGGTTCTCGGCTGCGTAGCACCGCCATGCCGTCTGAAACCAGCAGAAGGGAGGGGCTGTCACCTGCTGAGCCACCGACAGGGCCTCACAGGGTGCTGCGGGCCCTTCCTGGCGGGACAACAGGGCATCCTGTCTGCCAGCCCTTTCCCTGCTGCCCCCCAGGGCCTGTGCCTCTTCCCGGACGGCCTGGCTCAGCCCCTTCCTCGGCCGGGCAGCTCGCAGCCTCACACACGGTCACTCCTAGCTTGGACACCACAGAGGCCTGTGCCTGCAAAGCCCAGCCCACCTGGTTCTGCCGCCACCTGCCAGTGCCCCCTGGACTGGCCCCACGCCCGGCCCTAGATCTGCAAAGGTGACCAGTTTCCTGCCTCTCCGCAGGGCGTGCAGAGCAAGTACGTGCACAGTGAGGGCAGGGGTGGGCCCAGAACCAGCAGCCAGGGTCCACCCAGTGGGCGCCGGGCCCCTGGGGTTGGCGGAAGGTAGACTCAATGTCCAGGAAGCAGAGCTCCTCCCAGAGGCCCGAGTGTGGGATCCAGGGGACCCACAGTTTGGGGAGCTCCAGACGGGTGGGGGTGAAGGTCTTAAGGCTCCATTCTAGAGATGCCCATGGCGCTCCCACGCAGGGAGTGGCCTGGAGGAGGGGAACCAGGGGAGCTGCGCCATGCCCAGGTGGGCAGAGGTGGGATGGGAGGCAGACCCTGAGCCCAGATGAGGACGCAACCCAAGGGCCTCGGCACCGCCGGCTGTGGGAGCCTGGGAGTAGGGTGAGGCAGCAGGGTTCCCCGGGCTGTGACACCACCTGTGATGTGGGCCACACACTTCCCAGGACAGTCAGGGAAAGGCCACAGGCCCGGCCCCCTGAGCCCACGTGCCACCGTCCCCATCCCCAGTGGCCAGCGCGTCTCCTGCTCCCAAATGCGACGTGGCCTGGAGCTTCCCCGCTTCCTTCACCGTGCCCGCCCTCCGCCTGCTCTGGCTCCAGTCCTCTCCCGCCTCCGCCTCCTGGGGACACTGGTGCCAGGCTGTGGTTCCGACTCCGGATTCCCAGAGCGGCACACAAGATCCATGGGGAGTCAGCGTTCCCCTCCCACAGGAGGCCCTCTGGTCTCCCCAGGAGACTCAGCGGGAGGGGCCCAGCCCATCAGCCTTACGGCCTGACTTCTGCTTCCTTCCCACCCAGACGGGGGTCCCAAAAGGGCCCGAGGAACAGGCTGCAGGCCTTGGCTGAGCCGCGGCCACAGGCGGGACCCCAGACCACCCCTGGGTCCCGAGGGGTCCACACTGTACCCGGCAGCTGCTCTGCTGAGCAGAGGGCCCCACGTCCGTGGCCAACACAGGATGACACCGCTGCTCCTGGCCCCCCATCCCTGCTTCTCAGCCCTGGCCAGGCCAATGACCAAACCCTCAGTGATGATTCTCGAATGAATCTCGTGCCTACATCTTCATTTGCACTGAAAGGGTTGCCCGGTTCTCCAGTGAGTCCCAGAAGCTTGGGGTCCCAGAGCCAAGTGTCAGGGCTTGGGGCCACCTGCCTCCTCACCTGCCTCTGACCCTTCCTTTCCCCAGCACTCTGTCTCTGCCTCCTCTGCCCCCCAACCTGGAGCCTCTGGGACCGTCTTGTCCATCAGCCTGGTGGGGAGGAGGGTGGTCAACTAGCCTGGCTCCCCACCAGGCAGTGCGGGGCATCAGGGCAGACGCAGCCCCACCACCAAGGCCGGCACTCGGAACCCTGGGCCCGTGAAGGGCAGCTGCCCGGCCTGCCAGAAACCCTGGTCCTCAGCCGCCTGCGAGCCCCGAGCCTCGTGGGAGCTGGAACGGCCCAGAAGGCACCTGCACTGCACCAGCGGGGCCCTGACCCCGGGATTTGGCCCGCCGAGGACCCCTTACTCTTCGCTCCCAGACTGGCCCCACGCAGAGTGCGGCGCAGCCACAGAAGGAGGACGGAGAGGGGAGAGGCCAGACCACACCAAATCCAGGACTGGCCTGGCCGACTCCTCGCCCCCAGCCCGGCCCACAGGACATGACGGTCCACAGAAGCCTCAGTGGGGGGAGGAGGGCTCCCCGCGCCCCTGTGCACCTGCCAGCACCACTAGACGGACGGGCGGGCGCGCCTGGGCGCAGTCGCGGCTCTCAGAGTCCGTAAGCAGCTCCTAGTTCCCAGACCAGACAGCTTGTGTCTCCCTGGGGGGACACAGGCCGGATGTACGGACGAGGCCACGGGGGCCGAGCCATCACCTGGATGAGCGAGGCCGCCGCCGGGATCTGCCGGTTGAAGTGTTTCTGCCTCTGCTTCTGCTGGACCTTCAGGGCGAAGCCGGAGCCGAGGATGCCCTGGGGGGAGCAGAAAGCAGGGCTCGCGTCCACATGGACACGTGTCCCCTGGACGTGGGAGTCGGGGAGATGGTCTGGGCACCCGGTCGCGGGCTCGGGAAAGCCAGGCCTGCCCAGTGCTGCGGGCCCCGCAGATGCAGCTCCCCCCACCCTGAGCAGGACACCGCTGCCACCCAGGATCGCTCATGCGGGGAAAAGGGCCGGCCCTTCGTGTAGGGAGCTCCCTGCCCATGGAGGGGATCAAAGCAGACACGCTTACACACGTACACGCCCACACGCACACACCTACCACACCAGAGCTACTTGACACACTGCACACACACGTGCAGACACACATACACATGCAACACGTTAGCGTGACCCCCATGGAGCACACATGTAAGATATGCACACAGTGTGTACCCACATGGTACATGTATAAATGACATACACACACACGCAAACGTGGACACAGCCTGCGTGACGCGGAACCCACAGTGCACACCCACGCCCAGCACCGCATAACTGCCGCACCCCTCCACACACACAGAGTGAGCTGGAAGGTCTCAGTGCTCAGGACCTGTGACTTCCAGAAAGGACCTGGCTCAGGGCCCCCCCACCACCTCCAGGCCTCAGTGCGGGCCCGCCCGCTCCCTAGGAGGCACATGGATTCCACCTCTGCTGCCCCATGGCAGCCACTGTGGGCACCTCAGGCCTACCCTCTGGGGCCGGATGACCCGGCCCGCACCCCGCTATCTGCCGTGAGAGGCCCGGGGGTCGCCCTGAGACCACAGCAGGCCGCCACCTGCTCCTGCTACGAAGGACCCACCGGGGACGGAGCAGGAGGGCAGGGGGGCCTCCGAGAGGCCCCCGCGGCCAGGTGAGCCG